GTGTTCTCAGTGTAGACGCTCCAGTGTGCGGACCCTGGGTGTTCTCAGTGTAGACGCTCCAGTGTATGGACCCTGAGTGTTCTCAGTGTAGATGCTCTGAGCATGTGGGTCCTCAGCTTTCTGGAGACGCAGTGTTTGGAGTGGTGGGAAAAGTGGAGCTGCCACCCGTTCTGTCAATAACTTCAGGCAAACCACTGTGTTCTGATTTTTTTATGATCTGCCAAGTGGAGGAAGAAAAGCAAAATTTGTTCCTTTTCATGAACTCCTGAAGGACCAAAGTGTGAAGTTGCTGGGAAAGTCTTTAAAATAGAAATTGTCGTTTCCTCTTCAGAGTTGTCGCTCTTGTGTCATTTTTTTACTCCTTCTTTGTTTCCAAGAGACAAAAAGCCCACCTTCATTCCGTCTTCTTTGTCTGCTTCCATATGTTTCTCTCTCTACAAAGCGGGTAGAATTCTGCACAAAGGATTTTTGTTGTTGTTGCTTGGTTTTTCATGACAGGGTTTCTCTTTGCGCCTTTCCTGGGACTCACTCTGTAGACCAGGCTGGCCTCGAACTCAGAGATCCACCTGACTCTGCCTCCTGGGTGCTGGGATTAAAGGTGTGCGCCACTACTGCCTGGCTTTCTTGCGTAACTTTTAAGTTTACATTTCCTCTAAAATAGTTAACTCCAATTTAATGAACTTTTGAATTTCACTCTGTGAGTAGAAACTATATTAAATTAATTTTTCTAAAAGCTTAATACTCCTTGAATTTCAGTTGAGACTGTAGCAAAGTTTCAAAGTCATAAATTTTCTTATATAGAAGACACATTTGAGGGAACAAAACAGTGTTTGTATTATTGGGAGAATATTAAATCATGGGTATATCCATTCAGTGAGAAAAAAATTAGCCAATTAGTTGTAATTTGTGATAGTCACCTAATGCCTCTTGGTAACATGGAGAATGCTTAATAATTAAATAAGCTGGAAGCACTACGCATCTGTCACTTTCAGGCCAAACCTAAAAAAGCTGTTTTAGAGCTCGTGGGAAAGCCATTCTAGCTCCATGCTATAGACCTTTCCAAGAATGAACTTTCTACCCCAGTCATGTTTCCAGTGAAGTATAGTCAGTAACTCAGATTACTGCTCATAGTGCTGAGGTGTTCTTCTGTTTAGGTGAGGTTTAATTTCCTGTCTCAGAAAGTGCAGGTATTTTCTGATTCTTAGGAGTTTCCCAAATGCTTTCAAATGAGAACAGGTGCAGTTGTCTTTCACTTAGAAATCAAGGCATTTTTACTCTTGTTTTCTTTAAGTTAGGCAATACTTTATTCTAATAAGTCCCTTTGTTAATTAATAGTTTTCATGGGCCTGGGAGGTGGCGAAGTGGATAAAAGCATTTGTCTGACCTGAGTTTGGATCCCTGAGGCCCAAAGCAGAAGGCATTTTTGTCCTTGGACTGCACTTGTGCTGTGACATATCTGTTATACACAAACATGAATACACAATCACAAAATAAGTCTTTTTTAAAAGAATCATTCCTAAGCCAAGAATTGGCTGCTCGTGACAGTGAAGCCTCTAACTGTGGTTTTAAAACTGTTTCCTCAGAATGAATTTTGCCCTCTGTGGAGGAGCTCATAAACTTGAAAGAAGTTGTCGTTTGTAGAATTATATATTTGGGGAATCTTATTGTTGAAGATTTTTTAGAAACATTTTGAACACAAAGATCTCTTTGACCCTTTGTGCAATGTAAGATGCAAGCAGTGAAATCTTAAAAGATTTCTGTAGTAAGGGTGGAGAGATGGCTCTGACAGTTCAGTATTTGCTGGACGTACACGAGGGACTGGGTTCAGAGCTCCAGCATCGACATGAAAAGCACAGTCCAGTTGTGCACGCCTGAAAGCCCATGCTGGGGAGGTGGAGAAGCGGGGGTTCCTGAACTGTCTGACCAGCCAGGAGAGCCAGATCAGTGAGCTAGCTCCAGGTGTAGTGAGCCAAGCTGTCTCAGGAAATAGGGCAGAGACTGAGCCAGGCGCCTGACATTGATGCACACACGAACACCAACAGAGTTTTGTTAACGTTCAGCTTTTGTTTTGAGAATTTCATACAGGAACAAGGTGTGTTTGATCAGATCACTCCATTGCTTCCTCCAATTCCTTCCCTGTCCCACTACAACTTTTTTTTATCCCAAGTTAGTGTGCTTTTGAAATACCCACTGGGTCTGTGTAGTGCTGTCGGTGTGGGTGTGGGGTAGGACCACCTATTGGAGCATCCCACTGACCCCTCCTCTCCCAGCATGCAAGTTTCGGGGTGTCTGATTTGAATTTATTGTCAGTAAAAAGCTTTACTTTGGTAAAAGGGGAATTTCCAACAAATCTGATTATCTCATCCAGTATCTCCATATTTTGAAATTAAGGTTATGTACCAAATGCACATCATGGAGAGGACCCAGATGTCTAGACACACTTTAAAATGGTGTTAGGCTCTGAGCTGTCTCTTTCTCTTTCAGCGGGCCCATATGGAATCTTTGCTGGCAGGGACGCCTCCAGGGGGCTGGCGACATTCTGCCTGGATAAGGATGCACTTAGAGATGAGTATGATGACCTCTCAGATTTGAACGCAGTGCAAATGGAAAGTGTTCGAGAATGGGAAATGCAGTTTAAAGGTATCATCATTTGGAAAACTGAACATATACTATTGTACATGCCTTAAAGGAAACCTTCTATTTTCATTTCCATCATTATTAGGGTGTATTTTAATTAATAAGACAGTTACATGTGACAATTAGGTTGAAAGTCTATATTTGAAATGGATTTAGCACCAGGTGTGGCATGTGCTCATGAGCCCAACAGTCTCAAATTGTGGTGCTTTCAGGTTTTCTAAGACTTGTTCATTAGGGAGTGATTTTGTTTTGTTAAATACAGGCTTGTATTTCAGACAAACTGAAGGCTTAGGGTGTAGCACAGGAGTAGATTGGGCATGACCTCCTTGTGCCCTGGGTTCTGTCCCAGCACCTTGAGAACTACTACAACCGGGATAAACAGATGAGTAAGTGATATCAACACTAATGATAATGTATCGCAAAAGGATTGAATTGTTCTTAACTTTGAATGTTAAGTAAAGAAGGACTACTGTGCCCTCCCAAGATCAGTTTTTCCCTGTGCAACATTGCCTGCGCCGTTGATCGCCTGCTGGCTCTTTGGAGCAGCTCATTGGGCTTCTTGGCACTTGTCTTGGATCTCCCATGTGCAGAGCCCGCTGCAAACCCTCCACAGCCAGTCAGTCCACTTAGTCTTGGTTTAATTCACGTAGCCCAAATTTTACTTCCACAGAAAACAAACGTGTTTCACCTGCCTACAAGGTTCTAAGTTAAACACTTGACACATAAAAGCAAGCAAAGTAAAGATCTAAGGGAAGAGTTTGAGATGGGGGAGAATGATGGTGTGGTTGGTAGGGGCCTTGCTTGCCCTTTTCTCTCCAGAATATTCCTCAGACATGTTTACCCTCTCGTTCTGCACCTCATAGACTCTGCTGCTACTACCACCCTATCTTCATTCAGCCCAAGAAAGTCGCCTTCTGCATGGTTTATACTCCAAAAATTAGCATGGAGTTTTAATTAATTAATCCACATTTTAAATGACTTAGAAATTTCCACTTATATATGTACATACGTTTGTGTGTGTGGCCTAGATTGACATCAGACTCATAACAGACCAAGTACTGTGATTGCATGTATGAACTACTAGATCTGATTATTGGAGAGAAAACTCCAGCTACAAATGGCGTCCAACAGGACTCCAGCTACAGATTATTATAATACTTTAGCTGAAATGTTTGAGTTTTTAAGAGTTAGAAGAGCCCGGTGATGGTGGCACACACCTTTAATCCCAGCACTCAGGAGGCAGAGGCAGGCAGATCTCTGTGAGTTCAAGAACAGCCTGGTCTATTGATCTGAGTTCCAGGACAGCCAGGGCTACACAAAGAAACCCTGTCTTGAAAGAACAACAACAAAGAGTTAAAAGAATGGGACTAATGGGGCACAGTGGCAGAGCTTAAAGCCTGAGGTCCAAACCCTAACAGCCCAAAACAGAAGAACCACATTCCAAGGCTTAATAATGCTGAGCTGGGCAGCTCTGAGATGGTCCGTGCACGTTTATTTAAGAACTGCAGGTAAGACCTGCTAACACTGACCTCCCTTCAAAGAGCAGTCTAAACCTCCTCAGCCTGTTGCCTTCTGTTCAGGCCTTACATGTTTGTAAATGAAGCATTGCAGGAAGGTAGCTTGTTCTGAGTGACTTAAGAGGCGAGTGCCTTCTTGTAGTACAGTGGAATTGTGAAACAAATTGAACCATTACTGACTGACTTCGTTTCGATGTATCTTTCAGAAAAATATGACTATGTAGGCAGACTCCTAAAGCCAGGGGAAGAACCGTCAGAGTACACAGATGAGGAGGACACCAAGGATCACAGTAAACAGGATTGAACTTGGTGAACAACCAAAGCCAGAGGCCTTCAGAACTGCAACTCTTACTCCTTCCAGAGAATGTCCAGTCTTTGGGTGTGGTGCACCTGCTGTGAGAAACACTTCGCCAGAGTATACAAGATGACGTGCTTCACTAGGAAGATCTGAATATGAGGCATTGTGTGTGCAGTTTGTACTGTCTGGTGGGCTTCATCATCCTGAAAAGGAGACAGGGCCTTCTTAACTGCAAGAAAGTCACCAGGTTCCTTTGACCCCTCCCCTCCCTCCCTCCCTTCCTCCCCTCCTCCCCTCCTCCCTCTTTCTTCTTCCTCCTTCCTCTCTGCCTTCCTGTCCCCCACCCTTCACTCGCTCTCTTTTAAAACAAAACAAAAAGTATCAAAGACACCGGACCGGTATTGACTGCTCAGTGTGCAGATCTCTGGAACCAGCAAGGGGCCTGTTCACGGGCTGGGGTTATTGTGTTAAGGAAGAGCCCTGGGGTTGCACATTCGTTGAAGAAGTTCAAGCTACTGAAAGGTTAAAAGTGAATTCCCCATTTTTTTTTTCTGGGCTTTGTCAGGGAAGAGAAAGAAACTTCCTTCTAAGAAAGGTTTGGAAATGAGAGGGACTTGCAGTGGATTGAAGTCGGCGGTCCCCAGCTAAGATAATTTGAAACCAATTTTATTTCCTTCCCTTCCTTCCGCTAGGTCAAATCAATATTAATTGTGCCTTATTTCACTTCCATAAACTTGAATTATTTTTAGGAAAAGCCCCTCTGTGAATTCCGAAGTCACTACAAGCAGCATGGAGACTGAGGTTGCTGTCCTTGTGTGTAGATGTAAAGGGACACTCAGTGTTACTGCCATGTGTTAATACGCAGACATAGCATGGTGATGGCCAAATGCAGCCCCTGTGCTTTTTCCTTTTCCAAGAAAGAGTGAAAAATCAACAACTCTTCCCCAACAGCTGCCTAATTTTAAGAGTCTGACCCTCACATGTCACTGGTGTGGGTGCGTGGGGCCGTGGTATGAATGTCTGTGTGGGTGAGTCTGGATGTGTGTGAGAGCACCTTGGGAGGGACTCTTTCTGCGATGCTGTAAATACGAGTACCGTTTTAATAAAGCATGTACAGTGAACCAAATAAGCTGGAGTTGGACTCTAAATGCAGAGCCGTGAGCCAGTGTGTCGTATGCTAATAAGACTGCATTTGATTCAGGATGAGGAAAAAACTCTGGGAAATGAAAATCGAGCACTGGTTAGCCAAGCTGTCCATGTACCACATTCAGTATAACTGAGGCAGTTCCACTGCGGTGGAACTCTCCCGATGTGGGATCGTTCAGGTAAGAAGTGATGTATTACAGTGTACATATTTGTACTCAGGCTTTGCTGCCCCTGGTTATGCCAGAAGCACTAGCCTTCCAAGCAGTAGCTGACCTAAAACAGTATTACGGATAGCTATTAAATCCCTCCATTGTTAGTTGAAAAAGTTCTACTTCAGAGCCTCCTTAGGTCAAATTTTGGCTTCATCCTGATGAATTCTTGGTCCGGGACAAGTTGCTCCCACATAGAAAAGCCCAAAATGGGTGACATGGAAAGACTTGTGCCAGATGGGTGTATGCATGCAGAAACCATCAAGATGACGTGGTAAGCAGAGGGTGCAAAATGCTGCGTTCCCATTCAGTCCTGGAATATTCTCTAGAAAAGTGTGGTTGTCACCAAATCCTGGCTGAAGAGCTCTTGTGATCACTGAACAGTGTCGATAAATGCTTTCTTTTTTATGTAAAATATTTTCTAAAACCAAATTGTTAAAGTGTAGATCCTCTGATGTAGTAAATGGTATATCTGCACTGTTGGACCTGAAGGTTGAGACCCTGCATCTGTGAGAAGCCCCAGGTGTTCATGCGGTAAAAACAATGCATTTTGTTTCTAAAGGAAGTGGTTTTGTGTTTTGGACTTGAAATAAACTATTGTATAGATAATTTCTTAACTCCAGTCAAATGTCTCATTGTCAGTAGCGTGCAGCAGTCTTGGAGGGGTCTGTCTGTAACTGGCATGTTTCCCCAAATTGCCTGCTTGTTAGGGGTTTAAAAGACATGTGTTCATTTTTCTTTTCCTTCAGTGTTAGAGTTCAAACCCAAGGCTTCACACACTGCTCAGCCATTTAGCTACATCCACTTCCTACCTGCTGAGCCTAAGCTCATTGTAATGATTCCTCCAGTCATCCTTAGGATTGGGCATGTCTGAGAAACACTGCGTTCATCTTTTCAAGTTGTGTGGTCCGTATTTGCCATGCAATAAAAATAGAACTTAGAATTTTGGTCTGATTCCCTATATTTTTTTAAAAATACTTTCGTGTGTATGAGTGTTTTATCTGCATGTATCTCTGTGCACCACATGCATGCAGTGCCCTCGGAGGTCAGAAGAGGGCATCAGATCCCATGTTACTGGGGTTACCATGATTGAAAGATATCATGTGGGTGCTGGAATTGAACTCTGGTGCCCTGGAAGGGCACAGATGCTCTTAGGCACCAAACCATCTCTAGTTCCCTACATTTTCAGCTTCTTTAGAGTTCTGTGTTAAAAGTCGTTTTCTTGTCAAATTAAACCATGGGTTTAGAAAACAGTAAAATTGTAACATTACTTAGATTTTGTCTCTTGTGGTCCCCTTTGAGTAGAAGCAGTGAGATTCCCTGCAGGGGATAAACCCATTCAGATGAAGTTTCCCGAACCTTGATTGGTGCACTTTCCTAATTTTTGCTGCCTTCCTTAGAGCTGCAGACTCTTTCTTGATCATTCAACTCTTTCCACAGGCTTCAAGGCTCAAGTCAGTATGTTGAATTGGCACTTAGGAAATTTGTCCTCTAGGAAGCAAAGCTGCCTTGAACCAGCCTCCTCATCTGCATATCCCACTTACCTCTGTCATGACTAAGTGTGGCAGCTTGCTGAGCATCTGTGCCAGTCAGATGTTAACAATGACAGCTCTGTGAGGTCAGAATAGACCGGCAGTCCTCTACTTGGAAGACTAGACATTCATTCCTCTGAGCTTGTTGGAAGTAGAGTTGAGTACCGTTGCACTGATAGAAGAGTAATAGTTCTGATGTTTCTAAGGGAGTGTCTTCCACTCAGGTCAGCCATTGACTAGGTAAATAATACTAAATCAGACCATGAGCTATGGGGAAAAGGTCAATAATGACCAGCCCCTCTTAGTCTTGATGCAGAAAATATTCCCAGCCAGTGTCGCCGCTGAGACACTGAGGAATATTGGGCTAAACAACAGCTCTCCCATCTGCTATACCTCCATTCAAGGGACCATTTGAGGTGCTGTGAACACTGGCTGAGCCTGCAGAGCTAGCGTGTGCATATCGGGCCCAGCCAACCCCTCATAAGTGTGCAGTACTCGGCCTGGTGAATATCTACGTGTGTCTTAAATGCTCTTTAACCACTCCCAAGTGAAAATAACAGTGCAGACTGTTCTATGTATCAGTTGGTTCGAATTTGGTTAAAAGAACCAAGTGTAGAAGATAGATTCAGAATGTGTTTTTACTGGTTATAAAAGTGAATTGACCAAAAGTTGTAATTCAGCAGTTAACTCTAAAGCCCTTTTCTCGAAACCTCCATTGTGTTAAGAATTCCAGGGTATCCTCTTACTCCAAGACTGGGCTTTCCCCAAACACTTCTGCCTAACTTGCTGGAACTTCACGTTACTCTGCCCTAGGGAAGTCATTCCTCCTCCTCCTCCTCCTCCTCCTCCTCCTCCTCCTCCTCCTCACTGTCCCCAGCTCCCAGCAGTCCTTACAGGGCCTAGTTGATACCAGTGAGGAATTGAAAACCAAGGTAAGAGACACTTGAGTTTGATCTAGAGGGGCTGGAGAGATGGCTCACTGGTTAAGAGCATGTACTCTTCTGGAGGACTGCAGCCATTGTTGGATGGATCACAACTGCCCAGAACTCCAGCTCCAGAGGATCTGATGTCCTCTTCTGAACTCCACAGGCACCTGCATGCGTGTGCACATACACACATCTACACATAAGTTTAAATAATTTTTAAAAGGACAAACTACAGTGTGATAAAAATAAAGGGAAACTGGCCTGGACCTGATGTGCTTTCCCGGGGGTGGGGGAGCCCCACCTATGGGAAGAGACCTTTGCCCCTACAGCAATGAGAAATAGGGAACAGGGAGAAGATAATGCTAAGTCATGTCTCACATAAGAAAGTTCTTGAAGAAGGGAACTATGTTTCTATCCATGTGTTGTCTAAGCATGGGACATGCCTGGGCCCTGGAGTAAGGGATTTCATTTCTTGAGTCTTTAGTATCTTTAGGTGGCGTACACTTTACTAACAAACTGAATCATCCTTTGGTATTTAAACTGACAGTCCCAATAGGAAAACTGTTCTCTGACTTCCCCACAGTTCACCTGGTAGTAACCAATGGTGAATGGTAATAACATCAGATACTAAGTTCAGCAAACAGGCCTGAGGCACGGTTTCCACATTAATATTCTCAATGCTGGGATGGTGAAGAGCTTGGAAGGCCTAAGTCTGAACCCAACAGTCCATGTAACCAATCGGCCTAGCCTACTGGGAAAGTCCCAGGCCAGTGAGACACCCTGACTAAAAAAGTGGATGCCGCCTAAGGGACACCTGTGATCGTGTTGTCTGTCAACTTGACAGAATCTAGAGTCAACTGGAGACAAGTGTCTGGCCATGTCTGTGGAGGATTGTCTTGATTGCATACACCATTTGATGTGGGGTGACTCATCTTGACAGGGTGGGACCATTCCCTGCACATGGGATCCCGGTCTGTGTAAAGAAAAAGAACTGAGCAGCGGTGTGCATTTTTTGTTGTTTTCTGATTGTGGTTGTATGGGACCAGCTGCGTCCAGCTCCTGCCACCTCAACTTCCCCACCACGATGGACTGCACCCTTGAGTTGTCAGCCAAAAGAAATCATTTCTCCCTTGAGTTGCTTTCAGAAAAGAAAGAAATTGTCTTCTGGCACACACAAGGTATACACACACACATTTTCTCTCCTCACTTAAAATTTATTTGGCATCTGAACACTCATGGTTGTGATTTCTAAATTGTTTGCACAGTGGTGAATCTAGTTGAGATGCCAGAATTGGAACTGAGAAATTGTGAGGTGAGCTCCTGGTGGACGTCTTCACTGTAGAAAAGCAGAACAGTTCATGGTATGTGTTAGCTAATTTGAACTAGCAGCAAAATGGAAAATGCCAGATGACAGACAGCACGAGTCTTCGGCACCTCCTGTTTACCCTCACGGACTTGTTCGCCTTGTCTCAGCTGATCTTTCAAATGCTATAAAACAGCTCAGAACCACATCACAACCCAACTTGTGTTAAGCAAAATGAGTGATTTTAAGTGATTTAGAAGGACTAACTATAGCACACACGTGCTACTCAGAGATTTCCCCAAAACAACTGAGTCTCTAAAGCCAATAAATACTTTTGTCAGTCCTGAGTAAAAGAAAATCATGGAATCCAGTCTCACTAACATGAGCTTGAACAGCCAGAATCATTTTGTATGTTGATTTGATGGGGCTGCAATGCCCAGTTGTTTTATTGAACAGATGTGAAAGCGTTTGTAGACATGATTACAATGTGGAGCCAGCAGATCAAACAACACATCACCTGCTTCATGTGGACAGACTACTGTCACATCCGTCTAAGACCTTCAGAGCAATTCCATCTCAAGCATTCAGCATAGAGCCAGCTTGTGTTCTGCTTCCTGTGAACCTTGGAGATTTTGGACTCAAAATTGCAACATCACCTCCTACCTGAATGTCTAGCCAGCCAGCTCTGCAGATTTCAGAATTCACAATAGTGTAAGCCAAGTCTTTAAATTCTCTCTCTGTCTCTTCCCCCCTCCCTCTGGCTCTCTCTCTCTCTCTCTCACTCTCTCTCTCTCTCTCTCTCTCTCTCTCTCTCTCTCTCTCTCTC